TCCTGTTCTTATCTTGGATTTCTGTTCTCAAGTAGAAGCAAAATTTAGCAAATGGAGCTGTTCTTAAGTTGGATTGTTCTTAAGTAGGGACGTTCTTAAGTAGAGACCCCACTCTATCCATAAACACCTAATTTGGGATCGTTAAAGTTAAGCAAAAGCATTTTCAGACAAAGAGAAATGTGTCTGGAAGTATGTGTAATTCAAGAAATAGGCATAGTGCTAGTAATTACAACCTATTAAAATGTTTACTTTTCCCCCATGCTTCTGTTCACTGTAGCTAATGAAAAAGAAATAGAACAGGGCAGAGATCCAGTAGAAAGCCCTGACAAAATAGAACCAAAGTTTTTACGCAACATAGAAAAGACATCTGACAAGGAAGACATTCTTGAATTGGGTCAACCAGAAGAGGATGATGACATTTTGGCACAGGCTGGAACTTCAGATGAAACAGGGTTCAGAAATGTCCTTGAGAGTCACAAAAGAAAACCAGATATGGCTACAACCCTTGAATCAGTTGATCCACAAACAGGGGAAGACTTGATTGCAGGTAACCTTCTAGGTAGCTTTATTCTTATTTGGTTGGTTCATTGGCACATAACAGCATCAAACATGCATATAATGAGATTGTAAAATAGATATTTACAGGTCTGAGGTACAGTTAAAATACCAGATAGCCAGCAACTCAATAAACAACCTACAAACGTACAACTTCAAAGGGATAGCCCTACTGATCTTTTGCTGAAAATGAATGAAAATACATTTGCATCCTAAAGCCTATTATATTTTTAGTGGTACAAGCTTTTTTTGAACTAGAGTTCACTTTGTCAGTGTGTGACATGTTTTCCTCAGTTGGCAGATGTGCACATGGAGTTGCAGAGGAAAGAATGGTGAACAGTGGGATCAATTTTGTGTGTGTGAAATGTTAAAGTTTATTGAGTATGACTATTGTATGCAATTTGTTTTAATAAATAGATGTCTAAAATGTTTTTCTGTATTTATCACCTTCAATTTTCTTCTGAAGGTAACACACCACCTTCTTCTGCAACACACACACCAACAGATAACAGTTCATACATTGAAGAGCACTAATGTACAGGTCGATAGAAGAATGTGTTGGATTTTCTGCAGTAGACTAACATGGTCATCATTGACACAATTTTTAAGTCGTTATAGAAAACATTAAAATTAAAAACACAACATTTAATGAAAATAATTTCTGAAATATTTTCTTGAACTTTAAGGTCTATCTAAAGACAAGGGTGATACAATGAAAGACAGCAATAATCCATCTGAAGTAGACTCTGCTGCTCCACATTTTCCTGCTGCCTTTGATGGTGCAATACTATTAGCAAAGGAGAATATGCAACCACTTGCAAAGATGGTAAGCATTTTTTCTGCTTAAAATATACATATTGTTTGTGTGGATAATATATAATTACATATTTGAAAATCAGAAGTTATGAAGCTAACTTATTCTGTGCAGAAATAAGGTTCTAGTGAGTTTGATGGCAACCCCTCCATATCAGTGTGTGTTGAACTCCTGTGTTAAAAGCAATTGATTTCAATGGCACTTACTCCTAAGAAAACATACGGGTGTTACCTCTTCTGAAGGACCTTTTATAAGGCTATGTATGCAGTGGACAAAATCAGTATATGGGTGGGCAATTTTAGGTTAAAAGACAGTAATACTGAAATGGTTACACACATTTTCCCTCATATGCGCCTCTGAACTGGAGTCACTTCCAAGGAGACAGGGATTGGGCCATTTCAACAGTGCAGCCCCCTCTCTCTTCCAGGCCCACAATTCTGCCCTAATTGTAGCCCCCTCCTCTCCACTGAATGAAGAGGGAGGAAAAATAGCTGTAATCTGTTTTTCAAGAGTAAGAGTGCCTCTAGAATAATGGGAGAGGGAATATTTGGCCTTCCATTCCACCAGCCCCACACACAGCATAACAAACTAAGAATTTGTAGGAATTCTAGTCCACCGTTACCTGGAAAGCCAAGCGTTCCCTCTCCCTGCTATCGAATTTACTCTCGTATTGCTATGTAAAGCCCACTTTACCCATCATAATTACTGTTTACTTTCAAAATAGGTTTGTTTGTTTTTTAAGCGGGGGAGGGGGCGTTTGGTTAAATAAATCCTCCGGGCCAATAGTACTGAGACACCCTTTTAAAGTCGTCGTTTCCGGTCGGAAACCGGCAGAACGCTTCCTGCTTCCGGCCTCTTTAACCGCCTCTCCCGACTTGCTGGCACGAGCCGATGACGTTCAAAGGGTCACGGGGGGGGAAAGAGGGAGGCCGGTTAGCGTGAGTTGACGTGGCCCTTCGGGAATCCTGACGGGAGGGGGGGGACGGCGGAGGCAAAGTTCGCCGCCTCCTCTTCCTCCCTAAATCAACGAGCGGATCGTTCTCCCCCCTCCACGTCCCTCCTCTCCCCTCCCCCTCCCGTCTCCATGGAGTCCGCCCCTCCTTCCAGCCCCCCAGGCGGCGCTGCCACTTTACTCCTGGGGCCGCTCTCCCGGGGCTACGCGTCTCTCACGGGCCGCCTCCTTCAGGTGAGAAGGGGCCGGGGCTTCGGGGCCACCATTTCTTGTCGCCTCAGCTGCCGGCGGGGCAACGTCGGTGCTTTCCGCCAGGGAGCCCGGTGGTCGCCTGCTTGTCAGAATTGCCGCGGTTCTGTGAGCAGAGGCGAGGCGGGAGCGGCTGGGGGGCGCGCGCGAAGGTAACCGCCGGGGGCGTGGGGGAGAAAAGGCCGCCGGTAGGCCCATGGACCCGGTTGTCGGAGGACTTGGGTGGACGTTGAGCCGAGGTTTGTCGATACTGTAGGGGAGGAGGAATGTCCTTCCACCCGTGTTGACAGCATATACCGTGCGGAAAGTCCGAAGATTTCTTTGCCCTCTCCTTGCTCTTTTGTGCCTCTCCTTCCCTGAAAGCCGGCGTATCTCCGCTTGCATAAAGCAAGATCTAGTTAACAGTCATCCTGGCGACAGGTGGTGTTTTATTGCTTTATGCACAAAAAACAAAAACGAAAGCAACCTGCAAAAAAGGAGGCTTCTGTGGAGCTGGCCCTATGCTTTGAGCTGATTTTGTGGGATTTGTTATTCTTCTGTTCACAGCAATGAAGAGCATAGAAGAGTTCTGCTAATCTTTTTAAAAGGCTTTCCCTCCAGATCTTGTAGGGAATTGTTTATGAAGTGAAATGCTTGTTGTTGTGAAGCTGGAGGTTCTTGTATAAAGTAATTCCAACCTCTGGCAAAGTTAACAAGTAACTTCCTTCCGCACCCCTGACAAAAAAGGGAAAAGAGAAAGTTGCTGGAGAGTCTTGGTGTTACTATGGTGAACAGGAGCAGGGAAAAACATATACAGTACTGTAGATCTGGTGTGTTGTAACTAGTGGAATATGTTCCTAATCGAATTGTGTTTAACTTTTGAGACTGATGCTGGAATAACAAGATGTTGTAAACCTGTGGTGTTAGGGAGGAATAGCAGGTCCTTAATGGTCCAGTAATACAGTAGTGGAATATTTTAAATTTTATTTATCTTTGTAAAATGGTATAATCTGGAATTCAAGAGATTTAAGACCAGTGCCATCTGTTTTCTTGGATGTAAGTAAAACACAACATTAACAATGACTTAGTTGCAGTCTTGTGTTGGTATCATACCCTGAAATTCTGTTGTTCAAAATGCTTATGAAAAAAATCATAGGGAACTTATTTTTCTCTGGTACTTTTAATTAGTGTCACTGTCATTTTATGGGACAGATTACTGAGTGTGAACCCAACAGATCCCTTCCTAGATTTCCTTGGGCAGGTCAATAAAAGTAACTTCTTATATGAAATATATTGCAATAATTTTTTTTTGTCTTCTGATAGGATTTCTACATTTCATGCATCTTGCTGTTCTCAAACATTTAAAACTGATTGGCTGATGACAATGATTGTAATGATTAAAACATTTAGAATTTGATAAATTTTAGAATTTGGATATTGAATTTCAACAGTGATGATGTGTTTTTTCTTTTGAGGTTTCTGTGGAGGAACACTTATACTCTTACTGTTTATCAAATCAAAGCCTAATCAATGTTAAGTGTAATTTTCTGCATCTATGTATGTAATGGTCCTTGTTTTTTTAAAAAAAACCCAGCAGTAACCTATTGTCGGGGGTACTTTAAAAATTAGAAGAAAATTTATTATGAAAATTGTAACCAGGAGAAAATTGAATTCTTAGCTATAGCTGATGTTTTGTGTGTTCTTTCTGAGAACACCTTTTTATTACCTTTTTGAAATCTGTATTACGAGTTTTTTTCTTGTCTTCACCTGTGTGATGGGCACTAGATCTTTGGCCCAGGGAAGAAGTTTAACAGATATAGGATGAACACTTGGGAGTAGGTCTGCTGAACTCTATCTCTTTTGTTCTAGCTGGTTTCAACACTGCCTGAAGCCATGCAGCCTGGCCCTGACTTCCATGGACTTCCTTGGGAGCCCATTATCATCACAGCTTTTGTGGGGTTTGCAACACTTGCCATTTTCTTCTGGAGGACCTGCCTATCTGTAAGTAAACTTTCAGAGTTAAATATACTCAGTTGCTTGATCAGACGCTTACTTACACTGTTGAAATATTTGCAGATCATGTGGTGCCAAACATAATTAAGAAGAAAGAATATAGTTTGTATTTTTATTTACTGCTTTATATTTTAAGAGATTCCAGCCAGAATTTTATTGCTGATATATGCTTTGATTTGGGGAATCATGAACATCTTGGTAGAAAATTCTCACTCATTAGCAAGAAGCTGATTGCATTCTGAGGTGTGCATCCAGTTGGGTATGTACCCAGAAACACAACCTGCACGTCATTAAGGAGAGTCAACGTGCTGCTACAACTTAAGAGTTTGGCGATATGAATGTGCGGATATCAAGGCAGAGTTGGAAATGGGTCCCATTAGTCTGAAAAATATATTTTGATACTTGCATCTGTACTTTTGTACTGTGGTCACTGAATCATAATAAATGGACAGATGTGTCTTTGTAATATTTTCAATTTTTATAATTCATAAAATGAAAATTAAAGGAGAAATTGTAAAAATAATATATTTGTGTTTCCAGTTTATTTGCATTTTAAAATCAAACTTCTATCATGGCTGCCTCCAAAATACTGTTTTGGAGGGAACAGTCATCAGTCAAACCAATGTGACCAGTGGTCGGGGATGATGTGGCTTATACTCCAACACAGCTGGGGAGTGCTGCCTTGGGGAAAGCTGACAAATAAAATTAGAAGCTTAGAATGAGTACAAACCAGTTTTTCATGGGTGAGAAAAATATCAGGTTATATGGAACCACAATAGTAACTCATAGCAGTGTTATAGCAGTATACATTGCAAGCAATTAATTTTTCCATAAAAACATGTCCTTTGAAAGAATGGGATATTTTTTTAATTGAGATTTCACAACTGGAATTATCTCAGCAGAAATCTTGAATTCCTTAGAACAGTTGAGTGCTATGCTTTGGCCTTTCCATTGCTGTTTTTCAGCATCACATTATCCTTGCCAGCCCTTTCCAAACTATGGCAATGTCAGATAGTCTCTCATCCAGATCTTGAACACCCCCAACCCTGGTTAGCTTCCAAAATCAGACAACTTTGGGATGTTCGTAGAATAGAAAGTGTTTATTTCTGGGTCAGGGGAGAGTGGTATTAAATTAAACAGACAAAAAAAAGGTAAGTGACCACTTTCGTACCTTATGGAGTAAAATAGTATAGACCAGTGGTTCTTAACCTTTGTTACTCGGATGATTTTGAACTGCAACTCCCAGAAACCCCAGTCAGGACAGCTGGTGGTGAAGGCTTCTGGGAGTTGCAGTCCAAAACTCCTGAGTAACCCAAGGTTAAGAACCAGTGGTATAGAAGATAATTGGACATAAGAGTAAATGTGCTAAACATGCACTTACTGAAAGTACTTGGCTTAACATTAGAACACAGCCAATTTGAAAATGATGTCACGGGCAGCTAGATTTCAAGTTAATGGGGCAAAATTCTAGGCATCTACTTCACACCTGAAAGTTTTGGATAGATGGATAATTGAAGAAAAGTTATGCTGAGAGCAAATGTTGGTTTCATGTACTTTGACAAACATGTAAACATGTGTTTCAGCTTTGAAATAAAGTGGAAGTTGAAGTTATTCTACACAGGTAGCAGCTCAGTAAACAAACCTTTGGCCTGAATTTGAAATAGGACATTGACCTAGAAGCTTTTAATAGAATTTGCTTTAAGCTTGCTTGTGTAATGTCACTTGATACTTGCCTTGGAAAGAGTATGTGTGTTGGTATATCAAACAGGTGAAACCAAAGAACTGGTTATTGACTATGTTTACTTCACATTGTTAGATGATAATTATATTAATAAAATCACCTAGTTTTTCTCATAATATTGTCCTATCTCTTTCTTTTTTAGGTGAAGAGTAGAATGTATCAAGGTAAAAAAATAGTTTTTGTTATTCTAGTATGATACTATCATCTGTATTATCTGGATACTCTGTATGTCATCTGTCTGAGGAACAAATGAGGGCTGAGATCCAGAGATCCTTATGTAATTTATTACAGGTGATTCCCTGTACACAGATGGATTGTACTGTATCACTACATATCTTCATGTTTTGTTTAATGCCACTTAAGTGGGAGAAAGGGAGGCCTGAAAAAGACTAGTGCACATGCAGGCTTTTGAATCTGGCTGTTTCTAATAGCCACATTCTCTCTTTCTCATTGTTTCCAAGACGTGTCCAAAATCCCATGCCTTTAACATCTCATTATAATTTATCTGTAGCTTTCAGTATGAGGAGCAACTTTCTCTTTGCTCCAGAGTTGAAATTATTTATTATTTATTTATTTATTTATTTATTTGATTTATATCCTGCCCATCTGGTCTATACGACCACTCTAGGCGGCTTCCAGTATAACATAAGCAAATAATAAAATAACACAAAATTACACTGAAAATGAAAGACAGTTTTGTGACATGAACACTTAGTCATTGGACTGTACAGACTGAAATCGATGATCAAAGCTCTGTCATTGCCATGAATTGCTGTCTAAGTTCACCAGTCCTTGCAAGAGGGACATCAGTGTTCAGAAGCTGGGGTGGAAGTTGGTAGCTCATAGTCGAGATACTTGAGGTGCATAAGGGTTAATAAAGTTGTCCAGTTCTTCAGAAAATTGTTTCGTGTTTTGTATTTTTTTTTCTAGTGACAGAAAAACAACTTGTAGAAAAAATTAGTAGCCTTATGAAAGAAAAGACAGAAATTCTAGAGAAGATGTCAGAATATGATCAAAAGGTATAGTGGTGCCTGAGTATCTTAATATTTTTCTGCAGATAAATATATAACTTAAATATATACTCTCTTTTCTGGTAACAATATAATAGAGAAATTACAATTTGTAATATTGAATATAAAATTATAATGTGAGTAACCTTTTTTAAAAAATGTTTTTCTTTTTACTGTAAATAGATAAAGGAGGCAAAGGAATCTGTTAAAGAAACACAGAAACAAAATTCTAATCTTTCTGATGAAACTGCAGAGCTTAAGGTATGAGAAAGAGATTTTCTTTCTGTTATGTTTAAATGTAGTAACCTTCCCCAAACAAAAACACTTCTTGCAATTTTCTCTCACAGGACACAGTCAGGGGGCTTAAAGAAACAAATCATCTTCTAGATGACAGAGTGAAAAATTTAAACACCATGCTAGAAATTGAGAGAGAGCACAACGCAAAGAAAAAAGAACAAGTAAGCAGTTATTCTTTGCCACTGGCAGTTTGCATATTGGAGAATTATGTCATCTTTATTATCATGGACAAAATGTTTATCCAATACTGCCCTGGTTCAAAAGTATGTTTTCAAACTCCAGATTTTATCTGGCTGAGGAACCATAGTTCACAGTTCACTTATTTTATGTTAGTGCAGTTACAGTGGTACCCTGCTTGAATTTATGTTAGTGCAGTTACAGTGGTACCCCGCTTGAAGATTACCCCGCTCCACTACGAATCCGCTTTACGATGGGGTTTTGCGATCGGCGATTTTGCTGGAACGGATTATCGTCGTCAAGCGAGGCATCACTGTATACTGATTTTGTTACATGTGTATTTGTGTTGTAGTACCTTGTCTTGGTGCTTACTGTAGAATAAATAAACATGTGCCGTCAAGTCAGTTCTGACTTATTGCAACCTTTTTCAGGATTTTCCAAGTAGAGAATACTCAGAAATGGTTTACCATTCCCTTCTGCTGGGGGGAGCTTGCCCAAGGCCACACAAGCTGGCTCTACTCAGAAGAGGCACAGCCAGGAATTGAACTCCCTACATCTGGCTCTGCAGCCAGATACCTAACTCACTTGAGCTATCAAATCTCTAGATGCTAATTTCTCTTGTTGTATAAAGTATTACTTGCATTGATTCTCTCTAAGAATGGGAAGACCTTTTTTTCCCAAGAATCCTACTCAGACTCTTAAGTGTAAAGCTTTGCCCGTGGAGTAAGGCCTAATTGCCACTGCTTGCAGGTGCAGTGCTTCCCATTGAGAGAGCCTGACTTTAAATTCTGCAAGGAGATATTTAATGTCTCCTCATACAAATGGCATAAAAATGAAATTGCTTCATTATAGTCCATTGCACAAATTGTTTGATTGAACAAGATCCTGGGTATTGACCTTACATAGAATAATAATACTTAATTGTTATATATTAACTGAAATCCTGTTGCATGAGGAGGTGTGAATTTTGAATAACTTTGTGTTATGCAAGTGTAACTGCACACCAGGATTTTGGCCAGTGGGTTTCAGAATTCAGAATGCTTCATACAACTTGTAAGATAGGCCAGCATTCTCTCCATGCTATGGGTGAGGCTAGCAGAGACTTCTATCTTACAGAGTTACACCCTGGCTTGCATACTTAAAACCATTTATGAATAAACTTTTTAATCAAGGTTAGTTAGAGGTTTTCCATCTCACTTTATCACTATAGTTCTGTTAGTTTTTGAACTAACAGTGATACGATTTTAGACAGGATTGGTCAAGCTCCTCCTTCACTTAAGGAGCAAATGAATCTGTTTTTGAAATTAGCCAGTTTGATCACCTCCAGTTGGATTTGATTTTTTGGTATGAACTAGAAAAAGTCTTAGAATTTCTCTTATCCTGAGGTGAGCTTAGCTAGCCAGTTGTTTTATTAAATTTACATATTGGCAGATACAATGTTACAACTGGAATAGGCAAACTGCTGTCTTTTAGTAAATGTCATGTGTGATGTTCATTGTCCCCAGTTGTTGGACGTGCTCCTTCAGGTAGCTGGAAGTTGCAAACCAAAATACAGTATTCTGACGGCAGTAGAATGTGTTGCTGTAATGAAAACTTTATGTGTGTTTTTATAGCTCACAGAAGCACAGAAGACTTTGGAGAAGTTGCAAGAAACCATTACATTTCATTCTGCAGAACTCTCTGAGGTAAAACATCTAAAACTACATGGTCTTTGTCAAGCAAAAACAAAACAAAAAGACGAAAACATGGCACTTTAAAGATTAACTTATATTTTAATATGGGATTTTATGGATAAGTCTGCTAGCACAGACTGACACAGCCACCTCTTTTTAAAGTATCTTTATGTCTTAAATACTAAAAGCAAGTTCTAAACTCTAAGAATTGTAGTCGATTGTTGTAGATTGTTGCCTTATTTGCACCATGTATCTCACACTTTTAGGTGCAGCTAGCTCTGAATGAAGCTAAGTTAAATGAAGAGAAACTGAAGTCTGACCTTCATCGTATGCAAGAAGAGAATGTAAGACTCAAGAAGAGTAAGGAACAAGTGAGTATTGTGCCTGTTAAATAATATACTGCTTTTCTTAGATTAATATTTGATTTGTGAACATTTTACATTGTAGGATATCCTTTTGGAAGTTATAGACCTCTGTTACTTCAAAATATAGGGAGATGTCAGAGACAAAAGTAAAGCAGGTAATAAAAAGAGGAGTTTGGCAGTTGAGCAGTACTGGGGACGATCTTCCTGGATACAGGAGATGCCTAGGTATGATGATCTCTAGGTGAAACTGAGGTGAAATGTGACCTCAGGAGCCAAAGAGAGGGTGGTAAGGTTTGGTAAGGATTTTGAAGACTTGTAGCAAAAGAATGTGTTTTTTTCCAGAGCAACCTTGATGCTTTCGCAGTATGTTAATCCCCACCCGAAAAATAAGTCCCAGTTAAGTGAAATCCCGCCATCCACCATTGTACAGCAACCAGAAGAAGATGACATGACTGTATTTGAATAAATGTAGATTGTTGTACATGAAAAAAATAAGACATTCCCTGAAAATAAACCCTAAGGTGTATTTTGGAGTAGACTTTAATATAAGACCCTGTCATTATTTTAGGGGAAACAGGGTAATACTAAGAAAGCTGACTTGGCTTTTGAAGAAGACTTGAGTATCATGTCTGTGGTGGGCACGAACTTAAATGTTAGGTACCTCCAATTCCATGACTGGAAAGAACAGCAATCCCTTCATCTCCCCTTCCAGAAGTGTCTAACGTTGTTACTGCAAACAATATAAATATCGGGGAGGTCATCTTTGGCCAAGCTCTTGAATCTCCTGCTTCTACCCTACATGTGGAAAATCTGTGCCAGATCAGAAGTGGTTTGGTACAGTCTTGGTCTAGTTGTAAGAATGATTTTGGATGATTGTCATACTTGTACCTTTTCACAAGTTGCAAAAATGGATTTCTGTCTGAGTACAGTGGTGCCTCGCTAGACAATTGCCTCGCGGGATGAAAAGACGATTGTTTTTTGCGATCACTATGGTGCCTCGCAAGACTTTTTTTCTATGAACGTGCTTCGCAAGACTTTTTTTTTACCGATGCTTCGCAAGACGTGTTTTTTTTTTTTAGACCGATGCATAGGGAACCTCGCAAGACGATTTTATCACAAGATGACAATTTTCGTGGAACGAGTTAAAATCGTCTTGCGAGGCACCGCTGTATTTGCTCGTGTAGTTTCCCATAGTTGTAATACTGATTTCAGTGTAACCAAAATGCTCTGTAACTTCTCAGAAAGTTACATGTTTTCAACAACTTTGAAGTACAGTGGTGCCTCGCTTAGTGATGTTAATTCGTTCCGAAAAAATCGCTGCTAAGCGATTTCATCGCTAAGCGAAACAGTTTCCCATTGAAATGCATTGAAAACCGGATAATCCATTCCAATGGGAACGAATTGCCGTCCTTAAGCGAAAATCGCCATAGGAAACATCGCTAAGCGAAATGCGGTTCCCCAATTGAAATGCATTGAAACCTATTCAATGCATCACAATGGGAAAAAATACAATAACATATTAAAAATGAGAACAAAGTCAAATTTGGTTAACAAAGGGTTTATTAAGTGCACTTTATGATTTCAAACATTTTAAACAGTAAACTTTAACTTTATAAATAACAGAAAAACGTTTAAAAAAACAGCAAACTTGAAGCTGTTTAAACCATCGTTAAGCGAAACAGGGGACCCAAAATTTAATCGGTATGCGAAGCATGGTCCCAACCATCGCTAAACAAAAATCGCCCATAGGGACCATCGCTAAACGAAACGTAAAAACGCTCCGAAAAAATCATCGCTAAGCGATTTCATTGCTAAACGGAACGCCCGTTAAGCGAGGCGCCACTGTATGCTTACGCTTATGGAAAACAGAAGCATTGTAGAAGAATAAAGCTTTTAGAATTACAATTAGGTCCAGAAATAATTAGATACTGGCACTAGTGCTGTTATTTCAGCTTTTTACCAAAATAAATTCAAGTTATAGTTAAATAATAAATATGGGCTTAGGTGCAGTGTCCCGGCTTTAATTTGAGAGTGTTCACATCCAAACTGGAGGAAATGTTTAGGAATTACAGCTCTAATATGCAGTTCCCTCTTTTTCAAGGGACCAATAGTAATTGGACAGTTGACTCAAAAGCTGCTTCATGAAGAAGTGTGGGCTATTCCTTTGTTATTTCATCATCAATTAAGCAGATAGAGGTCTGGGGTTGATTCCAGATGTAGCACTTGTATTTGGAAGCTGTTGCTGTGACCCCACAACATGTGTTCAGAGCTGTTCTCAATGCAAGTGAAACAGGTCATCCTTACTCTGCAAGCAAGCAAGCAGGTGCAAACCATTCATAAGTCTCAAGAATAGAAAGCCCAGGTTGGACTCTGAAAAAAAAATCTTTAAAAGGCAGCCCGGTTCTGGAACATCATTCTTTGGACAGTATGGAGAAGGCTTGGAATGGCTCACGATCCAAAGAATATCACATCATCTGTAAAACAGTGGCAGCACTGTGATGGCATAGGCATAAATGGCTTGCAATGGGACTTGGTCACTAATGTTTATTGATGACGTGACAGAAGCAGCCGAATGAATTCTGAAATGTATGGGGTTATATTCTTTGCTCAGATTTATCCAAATTCAGTGAAGTTTTATTGGATGGCACTTCAAAGATGGACACTAAACCCAAAACATACTGCGAAAGCAACTGAGGAATTTAAGGCAAAGAAGTGGAATATTCTGCAGTGGCGAGGTCAATCACATGATCTCAAACTGATCAAGCAGACATTCAGTTGCTGAAAAAAACTTAAGGCAGAAAGACCCACAAACAACTGAAGACGTAGACGTAAAGGTGTGGCAAAGCATCACAAAGTAGAAACCCAGCATTTGGTGATGTCCATGCATTCCAGACTTCATGCAGTCATTGTTTGCAAAGGACTCTCGACAAAGTATTAAAAATGAACATTTATGATAGTGTTAATTTGTCCAACTACATTTGAGACCCTGAAATAAGGGGACTGAGTATGAAAATGGTTGCAATTCCCAGACATTTCATACGATATTTTTGCTCAGCACTTTAAAGTAAAGATTAAAGTCTGCACTTAAATTGCATCTCAGTTGTTTCATTTGAAATCCATTGTACATAATTATGAAAATTGTCTCAGTGTCCAGTTATTTCCAGACCTAACTGTAAGACAAGCTGATGTTGCCTGAATAATTTTTCTATCTAGAGAAGACTTGCTTCACCATCAGTGCAGTTTACTTTACCTTGATACCCAGATGAATTTTGATATGGTTGGATAACGTTATCACTGGAATTAACTCTTCAGGGATAAATACCAGATGTGAAGAACACAGGCTTCTAATTTTTGCTAGAGGCCCGTATAAGATCTATAGGGCTCTTAGATTGCTGTTCAGGTATCAGAATTTCTGACCTGACACATCCTAGGAGAAAAGTCAGCCTTGTTCTCTCCATCCAAGCCGGGGGCTAGTTTCTACGGACCGATCCTGCTGCTTTGGTTTGGAAGGGGGGGAGAGAAAGCGGATGATCCTCCTCTCCAAGGGGCAGCAGCAGCAGTAGCAACAAGAGGAGGTTGCCAGGGGGACCCGAGAAGGAGAGCAAGGCGGGTGAGGGTCGCCTATGCAGGAGACTTGGCGGGGCTCCTGTTTCAGATCCAGGAAGCAGGCGATCCTGGAGGGGCGAGCCACCATGGAGGGTGGTGGGTCCTTTTCTTCCCCCTCTTCCTCCTCCTTGTTGGTCCTGGAGAAGAACGTGGCCAAGCTGACGGTGATGGATATCTATGACATTGCCTCGCTGGTGGGCCACAAGTTAGAGCACCTGTTCGACACTGTAACCTTGGGCAAGCTGCACAGCCCCACAGCACCCCACTATTGAGTATTCTATACCTAGAAAACCCTGGAAAGAGTCACCATGATTGAGAACTTGAGAGCACATTAGAAATATATAGATGGATAGATTAATTGATAAGATTGCATTATGCTTATTCTTTCAGCTGTTGCAAGAGGCAGAAGGTTGGAGTGAAAGGCATACTGAGTCCACAGAACAGATAAAGTTATATCAGAAGTCTCAGAAGGACATGGAAGAAGCACTTGCCTATAAGGAAAATGAAATTGAAGTAAGCTGGTGTAATAATTTTTTTTCTGCATGTAGTATATTCTTATATATGACTAAGCTGCTACACCAAATGCTGTAGTCCTTTGTTTTAAGACTTGTTTTTTTCATGCTGCCTTAGGTTTTAACTAACTGCATTATGCAGCTGAAGCAGCTTGATGCAGATTCTGAGTCTGAAAACAAGAGGGATGAAGGAAGCGATCTTGCCAATGGAGAGATCACAGGTACTCAGGAATTGGCTATCAGAACAGATCTGTGAATGTGGTGACTACATGAGCAATCAATTTTGAGATGCAAAATCTGATAGAATCTTCTTGGGCCTACAGAGCACAACAGTCTTATAAAATTGGATTATAGTATTGTTGGCTCAAAGTACATAATTAGTCACTCTCATCTTTGTTGAGATATAGGGAAAATATGTTCTTAGTAAAAGTTTGCAGTACTTTTAACATGCTCAGCAAATGTATTGAATTGTGGCTTGTATTTATAATGTGAGCTATTCACATGATAGATAACTGGCTTGCATTGCTGTGGTAATACTTTTCTGGAGTTAGTCTTAGACTTCTTAAGGCATGCTGTAGTATATTCTTACCTCATGTTGAAACTTTCTTCCCATGATCAATTCTAAGAAATTATCAACAAAGTCTCTCTTTTCTCTTTTGAAAATTTTGCTTGAATTTTAGACACAATTGATTTTCCCCCCTTTCTAGATACCAGGAATGAAAAGATGAAGAACCAGATTAAGCAGATGATGGATGTTTCACGGGTATAACACACTGATTTGTCTTATCGTTATGTCCCATGTTTACATTATAGTAGAGGGCTTCATTTGCTGTTTCATTGCATTTGCAGGTAAAAACAACATTATCAATCATAGAAGAAGAAAGAGATAGCTTGCGTTCCAAGCTAAATGATGAAGTAGCATCAAGGCATGAACTGGAAGGTACATCTGGTGAAGGGTATTTTAGAATAAAATGCTCTGTAAAATTGGTTTATCAATTCAGATGGTTTCTGTTTCCATTTTTTTATAGAATAAAGTCTGGAAGCAGAGACTTGATGATCTAGCTCAGGGTGGATCTGATTTAGAACAAGATTCAAATTGATTTGTCACATTTTAAATCACAATTTAACTCAGCAATTTTTGATTTTTTAAAATTTAAATTGTGATTTGAATCGATTTGATTTTTAAAAAATCATTGATTTTTAATCCACCCTGATCTGACTCAAATCTATGTAGGATATTTATCCTCTCCTCACTGCTTTTTGGCCCCAATTTCTCCCTTTTCTGTTTATAGTGCTGCAGTGGCAATCAAAGCTACAACTGATAGCTTGTACTCAGCAGGATTTTGACTCTAAATCCAACAACTCTGTGTGGCTTTCTGGCTTACATTCCTAACATTTCAAAGCTAATTTTGTTTATTTTCCACTCCCATTTGTCCTGGAGCTTGCAGCATCTCTTTGCCTTAAACGGTAGATCAGGGTAGTAAATGCCGATAGTTTTGGAGACTAATTTTTTATATCTTCCTCCAGTACCCTTTATGGGCTGCTCCCATTCCATCAAAATCCAGAGGAAAACCATTTAAAACAGACATTTGTTTACTTTAAATGCATTGAAATGGTTTGTTGCCAAAATTCAACAGCAACCTTCTGCAAGCTATGGAAAGTTATTTGCTTGCTTTAAAAAGGTTTTCTTACAGACTGCAACAATGCATTTAAAGCAAGCAAAATCCAATTTTAGCCCAGACTCCTCCTTCATTAGCTGCTAAAATAGAATAGTGGGCTCTTTAGTGGGACAGAGGCTCTCAACAACAACCTGGCCCTATGTTTCCCTCCCCTTTTGCAATTAAATTTTCAGAGTAGGAAGTTATTTGCTTGCTTTAAAAAGGTTTTCTTACAGACTGCAACAATGCATTTAAAGCAAGCAAAATCCAATTTTAGCCCAGACTCCTCCTTCATTAGCTGCTAAAATAGAATAGTGGGCTCTTTAGTGGGACAGAGGCTCTCAACAACAACCTGGCCCTATGTTTCCCTCCCCTTTTGCAATTAAATTTTCAGAGTAGGGATGGGCTACTTGCTGTCAGTGGGCCATACAGTGGGGTCTCGACTTAAGAACTTAATCCGTATTGGAAGGTGGTTCGGATGGGCTACTTGCTGTCAGTGGGCCATATGTGGCCCTCAAGGCCATCTCAGATACATGCCCCCCCCCCAAAAAAAAGAAATCTGACCTATGAGCAGTGGTTTTCACCTGAGGTGTCTGGAGAGAATGACTGAGGTCCCTCCCTCCAACAAACAAAACAAATGAAAAATAGAGGCCAGAAGTCCCCTCTGGGTATCTAATGTTTTTATTTATTTACCTAAATGTTGGTTTTTGGTCATTTCTGGACATGATGCAGTCTGTGGAGGAAGCTGGAGGCAAGAATTTGGCCTTCACACCCACTGAGATTTCTCCCAAAGGCTTTAGAGCCCTCTTCCTTATAAACATCCTCTTTATTCAGTTCTGTATCTTGATCTGCCCTTCCTTTTTCTTCATGTATACCATTGTTCAGTTTTCTTATACCTCAGGACTCTGTTTTTCTCATCTTAAATGCTGGGGACCTCTTCTCTAAGGCCTGTTTTATCTGCAGGTTATTATTTACAGTAGTGGTTCCTCACCTTGAGTCCCCAGATCTTCTTGGACTACAACTCTCAGAAATCCTAGCCAGCAGAACTAGTGGTGAAGACTTCTGGGGGTTTTAATCCAAGAACATCTGGTGACCCAGGGTTGGGAACCACTATTTGATAGCATTAAGGTGTTACTTAAACTGTTCTCTGAGCACTTGCATATTTTGTATCGCCACACCAGCTCAATTAATAAGCATGAGAAGCTTACTTGTCCCAAATGCAGTACCTGTGCAGTTTTGTTTTTTTGCAGAGCAAATCAAGAAGCTGGAACATGATTCATCATCTTTACAGTCAGTCAGATCTCAACTAGAAAGTGAATGCAGAACGTTGCAACAAAAAGTAGAGATTCTCAATGAGCTTTATCAGCAGAAGGAGATGGCACTTCAAAAGTAAGTGATGGACTTTTTGAGGAAAAAGTAAAACCCTTAAATAGGGTACAGAAGGATTGTTGTGGTTTTTATGTTTAGCTAGTTTTGCCTATGGCTGAGGTCACTGGCACGACACCTAGGGTTACTGTGTGATCCCTTTTCTGGATATAGGGCCCTGTTTAACTTTTTTGAGTGCCTGACAGCTTTTTCAGAGACTCAGCTTACCTACTTGATGGTATTCCAAGAAGCCAAATAGCACTACAGTACTTTCTCTGATGAAGACTGCTAAACCGTATTAGAACCACTTTTTGTGAGATTCCACTTTTTTCACTGTTTTGTGCAATTAGCCTTTCGTGCTTTGGTATTGTCATAGTAGCCCAAGGAACTTAAGACAGAAAAATCAGTGCTAACTAATTATTGCAGATCAGACACCTATTTGTTCTTTAATTATACCACCTTTTATTCTGACCTAGGAAATTAACACAGGAAGAATATGACCGTCAAGAGAAGGAGCAGAAGTTGTCTGCTGCTGATGAAAAAGCAATCCTGGCTGTTGAAGAAGTGAAAGTTTACAAGTAATTGTTACATGTGAAAAAAAAAGTATTGTATTTTTAGATTATGAGCAGAATTAAATCTGTGACTTTTTTTGATAGGCAGAGAATTCAGGAAATAGAAGAAGAACTGCAAAAAACAGAGCGGTCTTACAAAAACCAGGTATGCTGCTGGCCTAAGAGATCATTTCATAACAAAACAGAAGGCGGAATGCAAGCAAGTATGGAAACTAAAACCTCTTTGTTTTTACTTCTCTTTCCTGACTGGTGTAAGATTGCTGCCCATGAAAAGAAGGCCCACGACAACTGGGTAAGATGGTGATTTGTTACTTTTTAAAAATGATAACATTCAAATTTTGAAATGTTTTACAGTGTTTTTTTAATTCACTATGAGCTCTTCATATATTTGGACAGAACAGAATGCAGTAGTAATCAGTCCTAGGTTCGAATATGTCATTTCTTAATAGTAATTGACTTGTACATGGTGTCTTCTTACAGCTCATAGCACGTTCTGCAGAAAGGGCATTAGCAGAGGAAAAAAGGGAAGCTGCCAACCTGAGACAAAAGTAAGTGTGTTTCCTGTACGGACCTTAAAAAGGAGTAGTACTAGCAATCAGTATTGAGATTCATAGATTTTCTGAATATGTCTTCTAAGCAGACAAGACTTATTTAGTAGTTTATAGTGTGAGCATTAACAGTGTTTTCAGTTTAACTCTTTTTATGATAGGTTAATAGAAGTGAATCAAAAAATAGCAGCACTTCAAAGACCAATAATTGTGAAACCAACTGCAGGCCGACCAGACCATCAGATCCCTCCCCGCAGAGGTATACATGCACTGGGCTCATCTTTGTATTTGAAGTGCCAGAACTTGTGTTTTTTTAAAGAGGAAGTTAATGTGCTACACCACTGACTGTGCACCATGCTTACTGTGTTGCAGGTCCATTAAGTCGAGATGGATCTTTCGGGCCTTCGCCTGTGAGTGGTGGGGCTCCTTCACCACCACTGATGATGGAACCCCCTGGACGACCCCTTTCTGCCAATCCAAGGGAAGGTTCAAGAAGTGAATTTAGTAAGACATGTTTTTTCTGTTCAGAGGTTATTTTGTGACAAGAAGCCTTTTCTAAATCATTGAGCAGCAGCTGTGGTAGAAGAACAAACTTCTAGTCTGACAACAAGACTTCCCCTTTCTCTCTTCCCTAATACCCCACCGTCTGTTTCAGGGAGTCCCTCTAGAGCAGATTTGGGAGTGGGGAGCTGCAGGAAATAGAGAAAATCTATTCTGCCAGTATTGTTACGGAAATAGACGTTTGTCAGTGTTGCCCATTTTTTCTGTGGATAGATGGAGTTGCCTACAGCTTACTGATCTCTTCATAAATGGGTACTGGTATTACTCTTAACATACACATGCTTTGTGTGTCTAGGATGAGGAGCTGCTGAAATGAGAAAGCTGTTTGGCTCAAACACATGCTGTCAGATTCTCAAGACAAGTAATAATATTTAATGAAGGGTAGCAGTAGAAGACATTTCCTCTTTTTTCCAACCACAAGGAGAAAGTCCCAGTTGGCTTCCTAAGGTAGCCATCGGGAAGGGAGTGAGTAGTTAAAAGGGCACTGGGCATACTCGTTTCCCATTTCTTTTAAAAAGAGTAGTGCAGAGTGCCTGCCTTTTTACATTTTCCATGTTCTTTGTGCCCCCCGCCCTCTTTTTGTGTTACCTGGAACTAAAATGAGTGGTTCTGCAGCCACAAGATTTTGACTATTTAATCAGTGACTTGGCAGCAGAAAGATGACCTGCATATTCATGCTCATCTTCCTTTGTTTCTCTTTCTCCACTTCCAGTCACAGCACATAAATGCTGGCTTTAAAAAGGACCCTGTGGGGGTGCTGCTAAAGCTTCTGGCTTTTTTCTCTATGTCCCATAGTCCCTCAGAAGTGCACAAATACACCCAGCTTGGTTTGTGTTTGCACATCTGTTTAAAGACAGTGAACATCCTTACTCTAAACTATGTGGCAAAAATAATGGCTCACGAAGCTTCTGTGTTCATCCTTCAGGTTCTACTGTGATAGATGGCCCTCCAGCCCCAAGGAGACATCTGGAGCTATCTGGAAGAATGTCTGCCCCAGGTGAGATTGCAGAGGTTGCGAGCTGTACAACTGGAAGAATGTAGAGTATATATTTCAGAACCAGTATAAAACACCCTTCTGTTTCCAGATCTTGGTCCTGCTGTCGCTGCTCTGATTAACAGTGGCCCAAGAACATCCTCTCCTTCGGCAGTGGATGGAATGGTAAGCCAAGGGCATTGAATATCTTCTCGTGCTCAGATGATACTCTGGGCAATCCTTGCTTTGCTTTCTCCACTATATATGCCATGTCACCACTTACGTACATCTTATGTTCTGTTTTGTTTACCATGTTATTGTCATACATTGCTGGGGGGGAAATAAAAGCAAAACCTTCCCAGAGAACATGACACCCTTTGTGTTTCTACTGCCCCATCTTCATCTTCTGAAACAACTGCAGTGAGTACCAAAAGGCTGGGAATGGTGCTTTTGCTTTTCCCTGGTTTGGTGGAGAGGATGATTTTGTAGCGTGATGCTTCTTGCCTCAGCATGAGAGATGTGCAAAACTCACTGTCAGGCTTCTTGAGTTGCTAAGGTGAAATCTATTCTTGGGACATCTAGTACAGTGGGGTCTTGACTTAAGAACGGCTTGAGTTAAGAACATTTTGACTTAAGAACCACTCTCATAGGAAAATATTGACTTGACTTACCGTATTTTTCGCACCATAAGACGCACTTTTTTCCCACAAAACAGGGGGGTGGAATGTCTGTGCGTCTTATGGAGCAAAGAAAACAGATTATATTTTCCTGTTTTCTTCTCCTAAAAAATTGGTGCGTCTTATGGAAAGGTGCGTCTTATGGAGCAAAAAATACGGTACATACTTAGATTTGAGTTAAGAACTGAAAAAAACCCACGTGGGAGGCAGGGAAAGTGCAAAATTTGAACTTTCAGTTAACCGTTGGCCAGTGAAAAGGGTGCCTGTCTGCTTCCTCACTCCTCCCAGCGTTTAGAGAGTGGATTGGGAGACAGTCTTCAGACTGCCTGGTACTGTACTGCCTGGACTATATTTTCCCTGCCTTCCCTGAACCTTTCTTGACCTAAGAAAAAAAGAAACAAAATATCCCCCTCTAGTGGTTGAAGGCAGAATAGCAGCTTCCCATTAGTTTCTATGGACGGAAAAGAGCAGATACGGATCAAATGGTTTTCAATGCATTCCTGTGGGAAATGCAGATTTGACCTGAGAACTTTTTGACTTCAGAACCACCTTCCAATACGGATTAAGTTCTCAAGTCAAGACCCCACTGTATTTCATCACATTATATTTGGGAAGGTCATACTTCTTCAACTGCCATAAAGAATATGACTGAGTTTCATTTGCAAGAAAAAAAAACCTATGTGGTTCCTGACACTGAGTTGTTTTTTTTTTTTTAACACCTTGCTTGATTTCTGTGTTAATGCTCCTACTTGTTTGGTTTTCTGTTATTTTAAAGAAATGCACATGGTATTGCTTTAGGTGGTTAACTGTTAAAGGATATAACAAAGGTGAAAGACACTAACTGTTTGATGTCTGAAGTTCTAGTAATTCGGAGAAAAAAATATTGTATGAGAAATTGCAGTGCCGTCTAATACTACATTTCAAAATGTTTTTCAGTTTGACTGTTGTATTTCACTAGAAGGCTAAGTTTACAATCTTGTGTAGGTTACCATGGGTTCTAAAGGCCCACCATCTTTCCCGGGACACCCCATGATGACATCTCCAGGACCTGGACCGCTGCCACCTCCAGTTCGATTTGGACCTCCGCCCCGGGCACCATATGGATCTCGGCCTCTTCCACTCGGTAAAATTGCTGTTTTATCTTGTGCTAAAAAGACCCCATGATTCCTTTTTTTGGTCTTACTAATTCCAAAATTCATTTTTGCTTCTTTTTTAATAACTTGTTGACTTATTCAACTTGAATATAACCTTGTTAAATATGATGGATTTCCAACAACAGGAAAGTACTGTCAGAATAGGGGGAAGTGGAAAGAGGCCATGAAGGGCATGGGTGCTTCGTTGTCTAAGCAATGGAACTTTGTGCCCTCTTTTCAAACATGTATCTGCATAAAAGCTAGAAACATGCTTTCAGGGAATAGAAGTTGAGAACAATGGTATTCTAGACCTTCTACATAGATTTCTGCCGAAGAAGTGTAAAAGGCAATTTTCTTTTTTTAAAGAATACTTGTCTTACTGTTGTTGATTCATCTTCCAGCACGTGGAGCTCCTCCTCCACCTCTTCCAAGAGACTACCCACCTGGCCCTCCATTTGGAATAAGAGACTTCCCACCTGGCTCACTTCCACCACCTGAACAGAGAGCATATATCCGTGGACCACCTCCATTCCGGCCTCCACCTCCACGGGATTTTCCTCCAGGTCCACGGCTACCTCCACAAGGATTAAGGGACTATCCTCCTCTTTCAGTCAGAGACTTGCCACCTTCTGCACCCAATGAATACCAAGGAGGCCCTCCCTGTCCCCCATCTCCAGCTAACTCACGGGACTCTGCTCATCATCCTGAACAGAAACCATGACTTGGTTTTTGGACTTATCTCTATCACGTTTCATGTGGTGAGGATTTCAGTGGCTTCAGCAAAACCAGCTGTCTCCTGATTTGGACTTTCAGTGTAGCTTTTTTTTCCTCCAGCAGAAATATTTCTCTAGCAATGTGCATTTGGATCACCTTTAAATCAGGACTTGTTATACTTGCATCATGAGATGCAAGTATAATTTTTCTGTGATGACTCTGAAGTCTGCTTCTACAGCTGTGGCTGACCTGCAGCTGCTCTCAACGTGCAATATACAAAAGTACCCGTGTGGTTAATTTTTAATTAATGTAGCCTTATGTAACAAGTCAGTGAATGATTTCAAAATTATAATCTGAACATTTCCTGTGGAAATAGCTTCGGCAAGAAATGCTACCCCTTCACACATAGCCTACAGTGACTGTAGACAAGTGGTTTACATAAGGATTCTAATGCAAATCTTTTTAAACATGTGGTGTGAAAGTACACTGTACTCAAAGGACACATCTAATAAAGAGAATAAGAATCTTTTTTTGCCACGTGTGAAGAATAAATTTTGTTTAATAATTAATGGGTTACTGTACTGTAAAAGCACAAAGATATGATTTCGAGAGCCGTTTCGGAAGCAGGGTACGTATATGAAGCCTTAATGTCAGAATCTCATGTGGAAAGTTAAATGCAAATTGACTTGTAGGATCAAAAAACATGTATGCAAATTATGCCTAGCTAATAGTTTTACAACAGCATACTGGATGGATTGAAATATTGCTCACAGAAGGATCTGCCTTGTCTTCCTCCCTGAGAAGTCTCTCCAGAGGGTCAACACATAGTCCAGAATAACATGGACTTTGAGCCTGCAGATGGAGCTGATGCATGTTTTATGCACTGAGCCATTAAGATGAACCCCCTGGAGAGATTTTTCAGAGTGGTGATGTCAAAGCAACAGCTAAGTATGTGTAACGGGGTAGGGAACCTTTTCCTTGTTAAGGTTCACATTCTCTCACAGGGTATGTGGCAGCAGTGGGTTGGGACAGGGTGAAAGTAGACATTTTCCTCTCTTTCTAACTAGCATAGAATTTCTGAACTGTCAAGAGTTGCCGGTTGCCCACCTACTTATTATACAAAGTTATTAACAGCAGACAACTGAATCCTGCCTTGAAGAGTATGTAGAGTGGAGGTATGGGCCAATGGACTTTAGATGCTCCCTATCAGCTTTTGCAGCCACTAGCACCCCATCACTAAATTTTAAATGTGGCAGCAACAAAGCGTTTTCTCCTCCTTTTAGAGGGAAAAAAGTGTTCGAGGCAGCCTCTGGGGAACACAATTCTCCTTCAAAACAATCTGTTTCAATGCAAAGAGATAATCTTCCCCAAAATGAAGTGGCAAAGTCCACTTTAAGTTATTACTGTGCTGCTGAATTTCAGTTGTGGAAGAGATGTTTGGCCTGTAGTGGGATTTGCAGAGATCAGAATTGGTCACAAGATGGTCCAAAGTTGTCCACTCTAATGTGGACTCAAGTGTGTTTGCCACGAAGAAAGAGCTTCAGTTCTATTTTCAGTCTGATGTTAACTTGCTTTACTCAGTGCACTGTGACACAAGTTATTTATCTTATGAATCGCTATGGATAAAGTGTACTTCCAGATAGGACTGTTAAGTCTAGTACTAGATGATCTTCATCTTAGTGATGTTTGAAATCATAAAAAGCTTGGTTAGAACCTTCTAAAGTACTAGATAAAATTAAATTATTTCATGCTCAATAGAACATTTCCATTTCTAATGATCTGTCATGGTTTGCAGAATGTGGAGTTCAAGGTAACACACTACTATCAACAGCTATTTATCTGTAGACAGTTTTGGTCATGTGCACCTTCCTAAAAATGAAAGACAATGCAGTTGTGGTTTCTGTCCCTCCAAGATGTCCTTGTTGAAGGAACAAGAGATAGCACTGTTGGCATGTGCAGTTTTTTTAGAATGCAATGGAATTATTAAGGATAAGACCTAACAATCATAAGCTGAAACCTAGTCCTTTACTGTTTGCAAGAAATCTTTGTAAAAACGAAAGCACCAAAAACTAGACATTAGTTAATTCAGTGATACATAATTTTCAGTTTAAGCAAGTACAGTAATGCCTCACAATGCATTGCCCCCTTTAGCACTGATGCGTTACAGTGCATGTAATGAATCTGGCACCCATTTGTGGTGCTTTGTGGGGACCAGTCTAGCCACTCCATGCAGTAGTAGACCAGGCCTTCAGGAGACCTGGGGCCCAGTCTATCCACTCAATGCTAGAGGTAGACTTGGACTCTGGAACTTCTGGCATAAGGCATAATGTTAAAATAACCCTGTTTACTGCTGGTTTGGTTAGCACTCCCTCCTTTTTTTCCTTGAATGAATCCTGAGCACTAAACAGCATTACTGTACTAAAAACCCCAAATGAAGGATGAACATATAGTGGTGCCTCGCTTAGCGATTGCCTCGTTTAACAATGTGTTCGCTTAGCAATGGGTTTGAGGAATTTTCCGCATCGTTTAACAATGTTCCCTATGGGGAAATTTCGCTTAGCGATTTCGGGACCTTGCTTCACTTCAGATAGGAACCTCGTGGTGCAGTGGTTAAACCACTGTACAGCAGCTAAAACTGTGCTCACGACCTGGGGTTCAAATCCCAGGTAGCCGGCTCAAGGTTGACTCAGCGTTCTATCCTTCCAAGGTCGGTAAAATGAGTACCCAGCTCGCTGGGGGGGCAATGTGTAGCCTGCATAATTAAATTGTAAACCTCCCAGAGAGTGCTTGAAGCGCTATGGGGCGGTATATAAGCAGCACGCTTTGCTTTAATGATGACAGTTTAGGTCCCCCTGTTTCGCTTAACGATGCAGTTTTCGTTAATTTAAAAGTGTCTTAAAATGTTCAAAAACTATTTTGAATGCTTGGGATCGTTAGTGCACCTTCTGAAACCTTTGCAAACTTAATTTGGCTTTGATCTGACTCTTCGTTAATTTTTGGTGAATTCCACCCCCCCAATGTAAAGCATTGAACTGTCGGTTTGACAGTTGTCAAACCGACAGTTCAATGCATTCCAATGGGGGAGAAAAAATTCACCAAAAGTTAACGAAGACTCAGAACAAAGCCAAATTAAGTTTGCACAAGTTTCAGAAGGTGCACTAACGATCCCAAGCATTTAAAACCGTTTTTGAACCTTTTAAGACACACTTAAAATTGCAAAAACGGACATCGCAAAACCATTGGAATGCATGGAATAGGCCTCAATGCATTCCCATAGGGGAAACATTGTATCACTTAGTGATGTTTCCTATGGGGATTTGCGCTTAAGGACGGCAATCTGTTCCCATTGGAACGGATTAACCGGGTTTCAATGCATTCCTATGGGAAATGGTGTTTCGCTTAGCGATGTTTTCCCATAGCGATGTGTTTTTTTGAACCAATTAACATCGTTAAGCGAGGCACCACTGTAATTTGTTTCCCTAAACCAGAAGAGATCCTGTGACTATTCTGATGCAAGTTTGTATCTTCCATCATTCCTGGCTATGTTCGCTGGGGTAATTGAGAGTTGAAGTCCATCATCATATGAATGGCCACAGGTTCCCCTGCAATAAGGGAAGAGTCAGAGATTTCTGAGTTGCACATGGTATGGAAACAGCAGCTAAAATACTAGAAGTCAAAATTGATTAACAGCGGCAATTTGATCTCAAAGATTTTTTTTAAAAGGTTAGTCCTATTCTCAAATTTGTTTCAAATTTTAACTGAATGGAACTTCCAGTTCAGAGGAATGAACAGAGCATGTTCAAATCAGATCTTCTGAAAAAGGCTGAACTAAACCTTTACTGGAACAGGGCTGTGCGTGTTATGTTCTCAGTTATCTATTTAATCCCCAATTTCTCTCTGTAAATTTTAATTGCTGTATAGGGGCATATATACAGAGATCTTTGGAATTCCAGGACAATAACGAAGTATGACCCTGGGCCCATAAACTGCACTACCAAGAAAACTGGTTCCCAAGAAAAAAAGCAGTACATTGCAGCTTCTAGAAACTTAAGTTGTGGGGCAGAGGGGAAGGGTCTTCTCTATTATTACATTGAAACAATCAGTTTCCAACACTGGTATTTTAATGCCTCTATCCAAGTTAAAAGAACTGGTTTTGAATTTCTCTTTTTTGTGTGTGTCATTTTTCCAAACTTGCTATACTTGTAGAATACGAAGGTAAGGCAAACTCCCATGTTTCTGTGGATATGTACACATTCTTAAGCCACTGATCTGAAACTCATCTGTGCACTTATGCAGACAGAGGGGTAAATGTATTTACATAGCAACTATATATGCAAATCTGGAAATTTTCATGCTAGGTGGGCTTTTCCCCCAGAAGAATAATTTATCTGAAATCAGTAAGTACTGAGAACTTTACAAAGTGTCAATTTGTCTTTTTCTATCTTCAAATTGTGGCAAGACAGAGTTTATTAAATTTTTCTTAAGGACTTCTTAACTGGAGTTTCTTTGTGATGAAATGCCCTCCAGTTATGAGCCATCAAGTTGTTTCCAACTTACAAAGGCCCTATGAACTAATGACTTCCAGGAGGCCCCATAACTGATATCTCTGCTCAGGTCTTGCAAACAGCCTCCTTTACTGAGTCCATGAAATAGCTTTATATAGCGTTTAAACCTACGGCTAGGGCTGTAGACATGATCGCACTTAAGCGCCCTCTCCAACGCAGAGCCCTAACGGCGCCCTGGTTTAACCAGGACCTCAGGGCGTGGAAGCGGTTTAGGAGACGGCTAGAGCGCAAATGGAGAAAGGACCCGACGGATTATAATTGGATAGCTGTTAAGGTCGCCACTAACCTTTACCTGGCTAAGGTAAAGGCTGCCAGTCGA